CAAATGACACCGGGCGTTCTTGGCCATTCTCGTCTCTGTGAGCTAGGATGGCTCTTACACCGTATGATGATGCATCTACAGTAAGAATCACAGGCTTGGCTGGATCGATGTACACCAGCACCGGTGCCTTCGTGATTAGCTGTTTACTGGGTTCAAAGGCCACAGCCTGCTCTTTTTCCACGCCCAATGCTGGCCACCTCGAAGCAGAATGTGCAGTGGCTGCAGATGCGCAGAAAGCTTGGGCAGGAACTTCTGTAGAAATTGATAAGGGCCAAGGTAGCTTTGCAGCTCTTTCTTGTTTCGGGGCTTCAGCGCCTTCAGAACAGCCTCAAGTTTGTGGGGGGCCAGAGTCAAGCCAGCCTGAAAAATGACGTGTCCCAGGTATTCTACACTGGGAACCAGGAAGATGCACTTCTCCCGCTTGAGTTTCAGACCAGCATCCTGAAGTCTAGCCAGAATGTTGTGCTGATTCTGCATGTGGTCTTCGTCGTCAATTCGTCCAAGTACACTACCACGTGCCTCATGCCTCTGAAGACGTTGTCCATCTCTCTCTGAAAAATGGCTCGTGCCGAGGCCACGCCGAATGATAAACTTGTATACTGGGAAAGCCCCATAGTTGTCGATATTGTGACGTACTTCCGTGAGGCCTCCTGCAACACCAACTGCTGATACGCGTCTCTGAGGTCGAGCTTCGAGAATTTCCGGTCGCCAGACAAGGCCGACCAGAGATCTTCAATTCAAGGCAGGGGGTACTTTTCGACAGTAGCGACGGGGTGTATCACAACTTTAAAATCCTCGCAGATTCTGACACTACCATATCGCTTGGGAACTGGAACGATGGGAACAGCCCACTCCTCAGTCTTGACTGGTACCAGAATGCCTTCACGCTGTAATCGTTGCACCTCCTGGGTGACCCCGTCCTTAGGTGCAAATGGCAGTGAGCGAGGCCTGGAAAACCGAGGCCGGACTCCCTCAGGTACATGGATGCCAGCAGTCGTACCGGCAAATGTGCCCACCCCTGGCTTGAACAGTGACCGGAACTCTGTTAGGAGGCTCGGGATGTCTTGTACGCCATGTAGGGCTGCTTCCTGGACGTGGCCTTCTGGCAGCCGAACACCCAGAGTGCAAATCCAATTTCTGCCGAGCGGCATCAGTGACGACCCCGTGGTCAAATACAAAGGAAGGGTTGCTTCCCTGTTGCCAAAACAAACGCTGACCTGGGCCTGGCCTTGTATCCAAAAAAGTTCTCCCGAGTAACTCTGCAGCATGACGCCTGAAGCCTCAGCGGCCACTCCGGGGACGGTCCTTTTGAAATGTTTGCCAGCCATGACCGACACACTGGCCCCCGTGTCCAGTTCCATAAAAATGGGATGCCCACCAACTTCGATGTTTAGTACATACAGCGGCACAGACGACGGGACAAGGCTTGTGTGCCACATGTCAAAAATAGGCGGGTCACGACGTTGAGCCTGGCCGCGGAGAAACCTGAGCTTGCTGTCGCACTTCCCCACCGCCACTTGCGACTTGTGATGACCGTGGGCTGGTGTGGAACCTGGGCTGGATCCAGGCTGCTGCTGTGGTCTGCTGTTCTGCTTCTTTGTGTGGCATACTCGTACAAAGTGCCCAGTTTTTCCGCACTTGAAGCACTGCAAATGTACAAACTGGCACTGTGAGGGAAAATGGGCATCACCACAGCGACTAGATCTACTGCCCCTTGCCACCATCTTCTTGACCGTAGCTTCTGTTGATGCCGCACGCGCAATCTCGCCGGCGTCTTTTGTCGCTGCGTCCATCGCCAGCGCTAATTTCACCACGTCGTCCAGCGAGGGGTCGGGAAGTTCCAGGAAATGCGTCTGCATGCCGGGGTTGTTTATGCAACAGACGAAATGGTCCCGTAGCAGCGAGTCCAGCTAGTCCTCGAAAGCGCAGGTACTTGCCAAACCTTGTAGTGCAGGGGCGAACTGCCCTAGGCTCTTTCCTTCCCTGCGGCTCCAGTTGTTGAAGCGAAAACGCCCCATTAGCATAGACAGCGCCGTATTAAAGTGCGAGCGCAGTGGGGTGAGCAATTCGCTGAGCGTCTTGGTATGCGGTGTAGCATGTTTTAGGAGGTCGAGCTGGTGACTGAAGACTTGGGTTCCGCAACTTGCCAGGAAAATGTCCCAATGTTTCTCCTCGAGCGTGTCGTTAGCTCGGAAAAACATGTGAACTTGCTCCCCATAGATGGGCCAGGCGGACCCGTCTCCCTCGAACGGTTCGAGCCTTTCATGCATCGGCATGGTGTCAGATGCGGGGGGGTTGTTTTGCCACTCTGAATGGCATGGGTCAACTCGTTGACTGAACTCTTCGCCAGTGTCACGATCTGCCCCGAAGACCGTGGAGGAGAGGGAGGGCCGAGGTGCCGCTCTTTAACAAGGACGACACCTCACGCATGGCGGAGTAACAGTTACTGACTGCCTAGCAGCACTCATCAGTGTTTATTATCCAAGCATGACTAAGGTTGTCTGCCGAACTTCGCGAGGTAATGAAAATAGACTGAAAAGATGTGCTTGGTGGTTTTGTGCCACTTGGGTGGACAGCGCAGTGTGTCCTCCTTAGCTGACCGCTTTGACATTGCCGTGTCGACCGCACTTGAGTGAACATTAGATTTTATGAACAGCGTGAGTTGAGAAGTGATTGCTGGGCTAGACAGGAGCAGGAACGCAGGAAAGTTGGTTTCCTATCAATAAGCCATGCCAAGGAGCTTAAAAACGATGCAAGATGCACAGAAGCCGACTGAGTCACCTAATTCCTACTGCAACACAGCGACTATCTTCATTCAGTATTGGGGTCAACTTTGTGAGGCACACACTTACCGATATACATAATTCGTCTGCTACCATGGATGCAACAGCACGGCTGCTTGTACTTTAGCTGCACTAGCTCCGAACTCAGTGTCATGATTTGTCTCAACTGGCTGTGCACGATGCCTGCCCTTGATTTAAACGAATGGCTCAGTTAGGAGGACGCCACCTTACACTGCTAAAACAAATGGTCGAGTGTAGCATCACATTAACCAGTTTAGACAGTGCAGGTGAATCAAATGGACCTGTTGTCACCGAGTATAGCTAGTTTACTGTCGGCAGCAGCCAGTGCAGTGAAAGCGCTCGCAGGGCAGCAAAACAGTGCCCTCGCCGCCGGGAGTTGTGGCTCCATTAGAAAATAAGAATAACAGGAGGCATATTTAGGGCGTCTTGCCGTCACACAACAGTAATCAAATTATCTCACGTGCCTTTCTTGCATTATCACCGCACATGCCTGGTCCTTGGGTATGATCATGTGGCAATCAACGTGACAGAACATGACATAGTTCTCGAGAAAGAAGCATGCCAGGTAACGAGTATTACCGTGTAGCTTAAGGTACAGCTGTTTGCCTTAGTGTATTAACCGATATGGACAGGAATAAAAAAAAAGCCATAAAATCTGGGATCGTACAGGCCAAAACTGATAGTGTGAGGATCCAGATAAATTGTGGCCACCTAGGCTGCTTTCACAATTGCTTTAAATACACGAGCGTTAGTTGTTATATTTTACCTCATTGAAATGCAGCTACCATGGCAGAAAATACACTATAGAGTGGCCTCATACTCACAGTCATCATGGAAAGTACAAAAGCTCTTTTTTTTTTTCATGGTCAAGTGGGACTACATAAAACAAAAACAATAAAAGTTTGTTCAGTACGTGAACTGAACCCAGTACGTCACTGTAACAAGCTCAATTATATTTAGTACAGCCATACGCTAGCACAGATGGTGGCATTTTTTTAGCACTAACAGACTAGAACAGCTAGAACGTATAGTGCTTTCCACTTAAGTGTATTTGTATGGCAAAGTAAATATTACTGGTGAAAGAAATCACATCTATTAATTATTTGATATTTGATTTGTAAATTCGAAGAATTGTATTTGTATTCGATTTTTATTAAAAAAACTTGATATTTACACACTCCTAAAAATAGTCAAGAAGTATTTAAAAAAATATTCAATTCCAATTTATTTCGCACCCAAAACTTTGCACAGCTCGAAAGTCGTGAGTTAGGGCCGTCGTTGGTAGTTTCTTTTGCTTGTCCTCCTATTTTCAATTTTTTTTTTCTTTTAAGATGGAAGTACAACACTGTTCTAATAAGAAACTACATTTGGTAGGTAGAAGTGCCCTGCTGTGGTAGCAGTGTTTCACGAAAAGCAGGGTTAAGGGCAGAGTAGGAACTTGCTACTTTTTCACGAACCCTCTCTCCATACAAAGACCTGTGCTCAATCTTTTTGGAGCGCCTGTGCCACCTATTTATGTTTAACAGGAGACAAAATGCCACATCAGCCAATAGCTGGCAAAAGTGGAGTTTCAATCAAAAGTGCCTTTTGACACAGGGCACTCTCATGCGCTGGCAATGCACTCTATAATCTGTCAACATTACACAGTGAGCCACACTCGTGCTCAGGAATTACAGCTAGAGAGAGCAATAATGTTTCACCACACATACTGAAGGTCTTGACACACAATAAAGTAAATTCTTTCACCCATGTTATGCCTCCCCTGTGTACCTTCCAGTGTGTTTGTCCCGGCGAGAGAAGAGCATTTGTGCGGCAGACCCTGTTAACCCTAGCCACTCTTGACAGATCCGAGAAATTTTTGTGGCTCGGATCATGAGGCGGTAAACTCTGAAACTGAGGTCATACTGCAGTGATTACTTGGAATGGTGGTTCATAACACCTTGAGGCTTCATCTATATATTCAAAACTGCGATCCTTCTCTCAAAGATTTTTTTCTTTGTAAGTATACCATACATGCGAAAATGAACTTCCGTCTTGCAGAGTTGTGTAACTCAACACTTCATTAACCTCTCAGCATAATGGAATGAAACACTTACAGTTTTGTCTAAAATATATAGAGCACCTTGATAGCAATGGTTTGCTTTTTATCTTAACAAAATAAACTATCAAGAGCAGGCAAGAATATTAAAAACCAACCAGGAATTGTTTGCTTGAAGGCTCCATGAGTTTCATTCAATGCTGTGGCTGCTTTTTTAACAAAACCAGAGCAGGTGTAGAGAACAGGATCATAGATTGCATGGAATGTTCCCAGTACTTCGCGGGATGTTTTCCATGCTTCGGTGAACATGCTGTGTATCTGGAAATCAATGTTGTCAGTTTAAAAACAGAATAAAATGAAACTACAATATGCCAAAAAATTAAAAGTAGTCACCATTGTTCCCATAGAGTGTACTCGAAAAGGAGCCAGAATTCAAGTCAAAAGTAGCCAAATTAGCCATACCATTTAACATTGCCACCGAATTTGTGACCGAATACAACAAAAGCAATATTATAAGCAGAGTATTCAGTACTTATCAATAAATAATGAAATTACGAATAAGGGAGACCATAGAAATCAGAGCACAATTTTTCAGCTATTGCTTGGTCTTCGAGCCACAAATAAAAATTGCATATAAACGAACAAATTGTAATTACAATTCATTCAGTGTGCATGTACTTTATGCAGAGTTTTTGGCAGATACACAGTAATATTATAAGATTCCAGTTGGCAAGTTAGTAGGAAGATTGGAGAGTGCTATTACTCCAGTAAAGTTATTTGTGCCCCATGGCACATGTGCATTTCACAGACTAGGTGCAGTTGGGTTTCACTGCCGTTGAGTGAGAACTGGTGTTGTCGAAACGCAAATTAGTGTTGAAGAGCGCACAAATCACCCAGAGGTCGAAATACGGTTGTGGCAGGGAAATTGTGCACGAGTGCACGGTGAACACAAAGCCGTGAGAACTTTTCGAAACGATGCGTTAACAGCGGACGCGTTTGATTATCGAAACCGTGACGACTACACCTTTCGCTTTCTCCTGGGCTTCCCTCCACTGGTATCCTCTTCCAAGCCGCTTTGCACTATCACCGACTGTTACGATTACTGTTAGGATTATATAAGCACGCAAATTTTTAAATAGTAGTGGGAAAGCGGAAGATATTTTCTGGTATAAAACTGCAAAATGTGTGAATTAACCCAATGATAGAGAATAAATTAACAGGCTTTTAAATACATTGATAGAATAAAGGACCAACCAAAAAAAACTTAGTTTTGTTTGAATTAACTGAAAGTATGAATTATCAAAGTTTGAATTATCGTGAGTCTACTGTATTAACATACTGTATAAGACTGTACAGCGTTTCACTGGTGATGCATTTGTTAATAATCATACACAAGCTGGTTTACCAAATAACATCTGATACGTCCATGCACTGTATTTCGAACGCAACAATATTTTCAGACCCCACAACGTTAAATGCTGAAACAGTTTCGTCTCTTTAAGGCTGCAAGCCAGATATGATTATTAGAGTTTACGTAATACAAGTACAGGTCCATATAGGGAAATCTGGCTAAAAACAAATGCACAAGCTTCATTTTCTTGCAGATCTGTGTTCTTGTCAAGTTTACAGTACAACAGACACTGCTTGTCAGAATTAATCACAGAAACTTGCACACAGCATCAGCATAGCTAGAGAGTAGTGTAACTATGCATTTGCCAACATGCACACAACTTCATCACTATGTATTTATGGGCGTGCCAAGTGCTGTGCTAGAGTACCTCGATGTGCATCAGCATGCTTGTGGCAGAGTGAAGGTGCATACGCATGGGCTGAAATGATAGAAACGTTTTAAAATAATGCGTTTAAACTGCAAATAATAAGAAAATGGCTACTAATCAAAAGTTTATTGATAGCCAAAAGAGAGCCATGGAGCCAATCGGAAATTTTTGTTGTCAGACAGGGTAAAAAAAACTAGCCAATTCGGCACAAAGTAGCCACCAACAGTCACTCTAGTTATAACTACAGTGCAGTCCACTTATAACGATACCACATATAACGATATATCGGTTATAACGATGGGTCGACTTAACAGTCTCATTTTATGCATTGGGGCTATGGGGAAAAAAAACATATATAACGATATGTTATCCACCGCATATCGGATACAACGATGAAAAGTTTGCCGTGGACGGCATGTTTCATTCAGAATAATCGTAACATTTAGATTGATAAGTTCTTCTGAAACGAACTATGCCGAGACAAGACGAAAAGTTAGCGTAGGCGAGTACGTATCTGCCGCCACTGCAGGACAGCGCCGGCAGCGCGTCCCGGCCGTTCAAAAAGCCGAGGAGAGCATCGCGAGTTGGCGCGACGCGCTACAGATGGCGCCAGCTGTGTCACGTTTTGCGCCTCGCCGCGCGTCGACCGCGGAGAGGCTGAGAGAATTTTTAAAAAAAATGCGAAAAGCAAAGCGCCGCGCTCCGCGGCTCCCCGCCTTCTACAACGGCAAGCCGGCAAGCTACTCGTAGCTTGCCGAACGAAAGCGGGAAAGAGAGAGAAAATAAAAAAAGCGAAAAGCAAAGCGGCGCGGCGGCATGGGGGCGGGGCCTCGTTGGCATTCCGGCTGTGTACCTCTGGCTGTGCTTTCTTCCTCCCACTGCTCCCACCCCGCCGTCGGTCAGTCTCTCTTCCTCAGCGAACCCGTGATGCGTTCTTCGGAGTAAGAAATAAAGTCTTGTTTTTGACATCCTACTATCTACAATATTTATTAATTGGTGAAAATAGCAAAATGAAGCCTGGAGCTACAAAAGGTACGTCCGGCGACGATTTTTTGGCGGCAGTCCAGATATAACGATCACCGGTTATAACGATCATATTTTTAGGTTTTCTCGATATCGTTATAAGTGGACTGCACTGTACAATGTACAAAATCAGATGCTATGATGCAAAGTGCCAAGTTGGTACATTCTTGGAAACAAAAAATGCTAATGGAAAGCCCAACCAAGTTTAAACATTTTTGTTTCCTTGGTTGTTGCAATATTTAGGTTGGTCGTCATATAAACGAGACATGGACATACTCGTTTATATGTGTTTAATAAAGCCATATGACATAGCTGTCCAACCATAGACGATTTTTTTTTATATGCCACCTGGCAATGGGCTTTATGCAAGCTTTGTTTTGCAAGGAAGCCTGTAATAGCCAGGACATGGCTGGAGACATTTTACATGCTCACTGAAGCATGGTAAATATATCCCACGAAGTGCTAGTAGGGAACATTCCATGCAAGTGGACATGGAGGAGCCCTAATGGCGAAAATAAGAACGAAATAGACTTTATAATGAGTGCACACCCTGGAATCGTTAAGGATGTGGAAGTGATTGGCAAGGTACGATGCAGTGACCATAGAATGGTACGGTCTCAAATTCACCTAGACTTGAAGAAGGAACGACAGAAACTGATACGCAAGAAGACAATCAATCAGCTAGCACTGAGAGGGAAAGTACAGGAATTCAGAGTGTCGCTGCAGAACAGGTATTCGGCTCTTAGTGAGGAAACCAACCTTAGCGTAGATTCAATGAATGATAATCTGACGAGTATCATTACGGAGTGTGCAGTGGAAGTTGGAGGCCGGGTAGTTAGACAGGACACTGGCAAGCTTTCCCAAGAAACGAAGAACCTAATTAAGAAGCGTCAAATCATGAAAGTGTCAAGTACAACAGACAAAATAGAACTGGCAGAGCTTTCCAAGTTGATTAATAGACTTAAGGTATGCGATGTAAGAAGGTATAACATGGAGAGAATTGAACACGCTCTGAAAAACGGAGGAAGTGTCAAAGCATTGAAGAGGAAACTTGGGATAGGCAAAAGTCGGATGTATGCACTAAGGGACAAAGAAGGCAAAATAACTACCAATATGGATAGGATAGTTAAAATAGCGGAGGAGTTTTACAGAGATCTGTACAGTAGCCGAGACAACCACGACCTTAATACTATAAGAACTAGCAGTAACCCAGATTACACCCCACCAGTAATGATAGAAGAAGTCAGAAAAGCTTTGGAGAGCATGCAAAGGGGCAAAGCTGCTGGTGAGGATCAGGTAACATCAGATTTGCTGAAAGATGGAGGACAGATTGTGTTAGAAAAACTAGCCACCCTGTTTACGAGGTGTCTCCTGACGGGAAGAGTACCAGAGTCTTGGAAGAACGCTAACATCATCTTAATACATAAGAAAGGAGATGACAAGGACTTGAAGAATTACAGGCCGATTAGCTTGCTCTCTGTAATGTACAAGCTATTTACAAAGGTCATTGCTAACAGAGTAAAGAAAACATTAGAATTCAATCAACCAAAGGAACAAGCAGCATTTCGAACAGGCTACTCAACAATCGACCACATTCATATTATCAATCATACAATCATACAATCAGGTAATAGATAAATGCTCAGAATATAACCAACCACTACACATAGCCTTCATAGATTACGAGAAGGCGTTTGATTCAGTAGAAATATCAGCCGTCATGCAAACACTGCGGAATCAGGGCGTAGATGAAGTATATATAAACATTCTGGAAGAAATCTACAGGGGATCAACTGCTACCATAGTGCTTCATAAAGAAAGCAACAGAATACCAATCAAGAAGGGTGTAAGGCAGGGGGACACAATTTCCCCAATGCTATTTACCGCGTGCTTACACGAGGTTTTCAGAAGCCTAGAATGGGAGCAGTTAGGGATAAGAGTCAATGGAGAATACCTTAGTAACCTGCGCTTCGCCGATGACATTGCATTGCTGAGTAACTCGGGGGACGAATTGCAACTCATGATTACAAAGTTAGACAAGGAGAGCAGAAAGGTGGGTCTTAAAATTAATCTGCAGAAAACGAAAGTAATGTACAACAACCTCGGCAAGGAGCAGCGCTTCGAGGTAGGTAATAGTGCACTTGAAGTTGTAAAAGACTATGTCTACTTAGGGCAGGTAATAACCGCAGAGCCGAACCACGAGATTGAAGTAACTAGAAGAATAAGAATGGGGTGGAGCACATTCGGCAAGCACTCTCAAGTTATGACAGGTAGATTGCCACTATCCCTCAAGAGGAAGGTATATAACAGCTGTATCTTGCCGGTACTTAGCTACGGAGCAGAAACCTGGAGACTTACACAGAGGGTTCAGCTTAAATTGAGGACGACGCAGCGAGCAATGGAAAGAAAAATGGTAGGTGTAACCTTAAGAGACAAGAAGAGAGCAGAGTGGATTAGGGAACAAACGGGGGTTAAGGATATCATAGCTGAAATCAAGATGAAGAAATGGACATGGGC